AAGTGAAAATGAAAACAGAGCACAGCAAAATTCGTGGTAGCAGAAGGAAATTTATAGCTCTTAATATCTGTATTAGGAAAGAAAAAATAGTCTCAAACCAATGATCTTAGCTCCAAACTAGAAACCAGTAAAATGGGAGAGAAAAGTAAAGCTAAAGTAAACAGAATAAAGAAAATCAAGTTCAGAGCAGAAATCAATTGGATACGAAATACTGTAAAGGAAACTCAATGAAACCAAAAGTTGGTTCACTCAGAAGATCATATGCAACTAATGAATCGCTAAACGCTACATCAAAAACTACAGATGTACTATATGTTGGCTAACTGAACATAATAAAAAAAAAGAAGATCAATAAAATTGATAATCCTGTGGAAAGACTGATTAGAAAAAAAGGGGGAGAGAAAAAACAAATTACCAATATTAGGAATGACAGAAGTAACATCGCTAAAGATTCTATGATTATTAAGAAGGTAAGGAAATATAATGTCTATAAATTTGACAACTTATATGAAATGGTCAAATTCCATGAAAAACAAATTCAGGAAGAAATAGAAAACTTGAATAGCCCTATATCTATTAAACAAATTGAATTTGAAATTAAAAACTCTCTCACATAGAACACTAAAGATCTAGATGGTTTCACTGGCAAATTCTATGAAACATCTAAGTAAAAATAATACCAATTCTAACTTTTTCAGAAAATTGAAAAAGAGGGAATACGTCCCACTAATTCTATGAGGCCAGCCATTACCTTGATACCAAAAACCAGACAAAGACACTACAAGAAAACTACAGATGAATATCCCTCATAAACATAGATGCAAAAACTTTTAAGAAAATTTTAGCAAATTAAATCTAATATTATATAAAAGGGATACTATATCAAGACCAAGTAGACTTGGTCTAATATAATAATACAAAGTTGATTTAACAAGGCAAAAGCAATCAGTGAAATTCACCATATTCACAGAACATCCATATCATTTCCTAGTTGTAAAAATGCATTTGACAAAATCCAATACCCATTCCTGATTTAAAAAAAAAAAAAAAACTTTCCACAAACTAGGAATAGAAGGAAAGTTGACAAAGAGCTCCTATTAAATATCTACAACTAACATCATATTTAATAGTGAAAAACTAAATACTTTCCCCCTCAGATCAGTAACAAGACAAGGACATCTGCTCTTACCATTTCTGTTCAACACTGTACTGGAGATCAAGTTTAATGAGGCAAGGGCAGGGGGCAATGGGAAGGCATATAGATTGGAAGTGAAGAAGTAAAACTGTCTATTTGCAGATGACATGATCATCCATGTAGGAAATTCTATGGAAACTACAAAAAGTAAACTAGAATCAATGAGTTTAGTGAGAAGGCAGTATAAAGATGTATAATAATCAACTGTATTTGTATAAATTGGCAATGAACAATTGGAAAGTGAAAATTTTAAAAATACTATAACAACTCCATAAAAATATGAAATACTTAGGGATAAATCTAAAAAATATGTGCAAAACTTATACACTGAAAATTACCAAACATTATTAAGACAAATTAATTAATTAAATTGAGAGCTATATTGTGTTCATGGATTGAAAGATGCAATATTTTTAAGCTGTAAAATTTCACAATCTTAATTGAAATCCCAACAGAACTCTTTTTTAAAAAATTGATAAGCTGATTATAAAATTCATATGGAAATGCAAAGGACCTAGGATAACCAAAAACAACTTTAAAAGAGAACATAGCATGGAGGACATTAGGAGAAGGAAGGGAAAAATGAAGGGGGGAAATCGGAGGGGGAGATGAACCATGAGAGACTATGGACCCTGAGAAACAAACTGAGGGTTTTAGAGGGGAGGGGGTGGGGGGATGGGTTAGTCCAGTGATGGGTATTAAGGAGGGCACATACTGCATGGAGCAGCGGGTGTTATACGAAAACAATGAATCGTGGAACCCTACATCAAAAATTAATGATGTAATGTATGATGACTAACATAACATAATAAAATAAACTTAAAAAAAAAGAACAAAGTTGGAGAGCTTACATTACCTGAATTTGCTAAACATTATAAAGTGATGTAATATTATAACATGAAGATATAAACTACTAAAGCCTAAGTTTCCAGAGAGAGACTTAAAAACAGTTGCATTCACACCCAGTTTGTATGCAGATCCTTCCCATGTTCCCTCCCAGAAGCCCATATCAGTTCTGCCAGGGCTCCTGGCAGCTTACTGTTGTGGGCCACATGGCCCCTCCAAAGGCTGCTTTGAAAATTCAATTACTGTGCAGTGGCTTCATGTGAACTCATCAGGGTCAGCGAAAATATGTTCTGATGGTTCACAACACTTTATCTTGAAATAAAGAACAAAATCAAACTTTAAAGAAATTCAGGGAATATTTGTGCTGAGTGATGGAAAAGGACTATTGAAGTACCTGATTTGAAACCAGAGAAGGGCTTTAACTCCTGAACTTTCACTGATTTTCACTGTTCATACTCGCTGATTTTAAGACTTATCTGGAAATCCATAGCAATCAAGACTGTGCAGTACTGGCATAAAATAGACAAATAGATCAATAAAACAGAATAGACAGCCTAGGAATAGACCCATACTTCTATGGACAATTGATTTTCAACAAATGTGCAAAATCAATTCATTTGAGAAAGAATCGTCTTTTCAACAAATGGTGCTGGAAAAATTGGATACCCATATGCAGTGAAGAAAAAAGAACTTCAATTCATACTTTATACATCGTACAAAAATCAATGCAAAATGGACCACAGGCTAAAATGTAAAACCTTAAACTATAACCTTAGGCAGTATATTCTAGATATGTTATCAAAAGCACAATCCATAGAGGAAAAACTTGATGAACTGGACTTCATCAAAATTAAGAATTTCTGTCTTTGAAAGACGCTGTTAAGAGAATGAAAAGACAAACTATAAACTTTACAAAACAGATATCTACAATACATAAAGGATCCTCAAAACTCAATATTAAGATAACAACCTAACAAAAAAAGGGGGGGGAAATATTTGAACAGACATATCACCAAAGAAGACATGGCAAATAAACACATGAAAAGGTGCTCAACGTCATCTGTCATTAAGGAAATGCAAATTAAAACCACAGTGAGATACATTTACACACCAACTGGAATGTCTACAAAAAGACTGACCATTGCCACATGTTGATGAGGATGTGAAGGAACTGAAAAACTCATATGCTGCTGGGTACAACTGCTTTGGAAAAGGGTCTGTTAGCTTCTTAAAACTTTAAACATGTATCCATTATATGGTCTAGCCATTTTATACCTAGATGTTTACCCAAGAGAAATAAAAGCATATATCCATACAAAGATAAGCACATGAATTTCATAGGAGCTTTATGTGTTATGGTCACAAATGGAAAACAACCCAAATGTCCCTCAACAGATGAATGCATAAACAAATTGTGATATAACCACACAATGAAATACTACTGAGAAATGAAAAGGAATGAACCAAGGAGACATGCAAACAGATGGATGAATCTTAATATACTTACTGAGTATAAGAAGCCAAACAAAGAAAGAGTAAATACTGTATAAGTCCAGTTATATGCAGTTTCTAGAAATGCAAACTAATCTGTAATGACAGCTAACTGCCTTGGGACTGGATGCAGGGGAGGATATAAGGTGGAGGAAGGATGTCCAGAAATGAGGGGTTCAAAGAGGCATGGGATGATGGATATATTTATTATATTAATTGTAGTGATGGTTTCATTGCTATATACACATGTCAAAAAGTTATCAAATTGTATATTTTAAGTAAAAAACTTGTGTGTGCTTTGGTGTGTGTTTTGTGTGTGTGTGTGTGAATAACATCTCAATATATCCTTTTCCCCAAAAAATATCCTTAAAAAAAAGAGAAATCTGGGGCACCTGGCTGGCTCAGTTGGAAGAGCATTCAACTCTTGATCTTAGAGTCAGGATTTTGAGCCCCAAGTTTGGTGTAGATTGCTTAAAAATAAAATCTTAAAAAAAAAGAAATCTGACAGAGAGATCCAGTTTTAAGAAAAGCATCAACAATAAAAATCAAAGGCCCCAGAGGGCCCTCAAGATGTGACCCTGGAAAATAGACAAAACAACAACAACAACAACAACAAAGCAAAAAAGGTAGCGGCCTCATGCAACCAAGGTGCAGAGTGCAGTAGTTCTATTATGGATGCTCAAAAACACAGGAACCCACTTTGTTGCTATCACCACCTTCATCTCCAGGACTCCTCATACTAGTCAGTTATAAAAAATTAATCATGAACACACGTATCACCATCACTACTGCTCTTAAATATCCTTTTGCCACCCTTTTCTTCAGTTCCCACCAAATGCTCTGCTCCTTCCCACCTTAGGGCTTTTTCCTTGTCTCTGCCTGGACTGTACCCCCCTCTTGACCACATCTCCACCTCTATTTGTGTGTTAATTCTCATGAATCTTTCAAAAGTCAGCCCATATGGAACTTCCTCAGCTTGAATCAGAACTCCTCACTTTTCCGTTATTATAACACACTATACTTTTCACTCTGAGCACTGTCCATAGTTTGTAATTATATATTTATGATGCTGTTGGTTTAATGTCTATTTTCCACAACTAGACTGATTTTTAGGAGGCCAGCAACCATATTTGGCCCACACAGGGCCCTATCATCTATTATAGACTCTGGCACATACAAGGAACTCAATAAATACATATTGAGAGAATGAACGAATGAACAATGGGAAGAAAATCATGGATGAAATCCTCTAATGTGGGAAAAAAAAAGAAATCCTCTAATGTACAAGTGATTTTTACAGGTGATCAAGGACCTTTGGTCCAGAGCTATTCCTTTTACTTCCACCTCCAAGGGGGCCACTCAGTAGCAGAACACCTATGTAGCAAGGATAGGGTAGATGGCCCATGGAGTTGTCATCCTGTATGAAAATACATCAGTAAGTAAACTGCTGGTGCCCAGGAATACCTACCTGTTCCACACCAATTGCTGATGTCAGAGATATGTTCTTGGTGTCCCAAAGTCTCCGTTGGAACTCAGAAGAACACATGCCATAAACCTGTAGCTTGATCTCAGATGGAAATAGCTAGATTTTCAGGGGCAAAAAGGGCATTTTGGAATCAGTTTAAGGTAAAAAAAGAAAAGAAAAGAAGAAAAGAAAAGAAAAGAAAAGAAAAGAAAAGAAAAGAAAAGAAAAAGATTGTTCCCTTGAAATATTATAAAATATTCCAACTAACTAATAATGTTTGGAAAAGGTCACTGATCATTCTGAGACAGGGTGGATTCACAAGAGTAAATGATATTTTAAACGTATCATCAAATAATAAATTATATATAATATGTATATAAACAAATATATATAGTATATAATATAGTATATATAATATATATATGTTATATATACACTAGGTAGAGTCTGAAACATAGTAAGTGCTCCCTACATGGTAGATATTATTGTTAAGTCTTCTTATGAAAAGGAGAAAAAGAGATTATTTGATGAGACTTTTAATCTCATTTACTTTTGTGAATCCAGGCTGGCCCCAGAATAATCACTTACCCAAACAATACTAGTTTGTTTGAATAGCTTACAAAATTTCTAGGGAATGACCTTTATATGTATATAAATATTTAATCTTCCCAACAAACCAAAAATGTAGGTATTATCATCACCATTTTACACTCCAAGAAACTGAGACTCAGAGAGATCATGGGATTTTTCTCAAGGTCAACCTATAAGAGGCAGATCTCGCATTTTCCCTCAGGTCTGTCAGACTCTAGTTGATCTCTCCTTCAGCTTCAGTGGTATTTCTGGATTTCAGCAAAACATCTGCCTCATTCTCTGATCATCACATCGTGGATAAAACAATGGTATGTTGTTTGTACTATTGTTCTCTTAGGTAAACTTACAACTAGTTGAGGCATTATATCCAAAGCTCTTGTCAAAAATTACATGTTTATTTGGAAGGAAAGCTATAGATTTCACCTGGAAAACCATGTCTGATTGATTTGTGGTAAGATGTGGTAAGATCAGTGAATTCTATGAGCGGAAACTCATTCCACATATATATATATACACAATGGAATATTATGCAGCCATCAAAAAATTGAAATCTTGCCATTTGCAACGATGTGGATGGAACTAGAAGGTATTATGCTAAGCGAAATAAGTCAATCAGAGAAAAGACAATTATCATATGATCTCACTGATATGAGGACTTTGAGAAACAAGACAGAGGATCATAGGGGAAGGGAGGGAAAAATGAAACAAGACGAAACAAGAGAGGGAGACAAACCATAAGAGACTCTTAATTTCAGGAAACAAACTGAGGGTTGCTGGAGTAGAGAGGGGTGGGGGGATGGGATGGCTGGGTGATGGACATTGGGAAGGTATATGCTATTATGAGCACTGTGAATTGTGTAAGACTGATGAATCACAGACCTGTACCCCTGAAACAAATAATACATTATATGTTAATAAAAAAATTTACATATATATTTTTAAAAAGACTCTTTCCCATTCTAAAAAGCTGTGATTTTACATGCCAAGGCATAGTATTTAAAAATATTTTTACTTAATTAACATGAACCCTAGAATAGAAGCATCTTTTTATAAGAATTTTTGGAATTAATTGTAGAAGAAAATTTACCTTCCCTATTTGTATCTTGAAGGTCTTGCCAGGAAATAAATGGCACACTTGAACTGATAATTAAGAAGATGTTCATATAGGGAATATTTACAAAGTAAACAGGGTTTAGGAGAACTCTAAATCCACAGCCAACCCATGGGGAACTGCTGGGACAATAAATACCTTAATCATCTCCTACCCTCAGTCTCCTACTAGTGCCTTCTGTTGGCCAGACCCAAATTAAAGCAAGACAGAAAGGAAGCCTATTATTTGTTACAGCCCATTCAGGACTCCCAGGACACAGAGCAAGATACAGAAGGGTTGTTTGGATCTGAAGGCACAAAATGATATTTAGCATAGGCTGTCTTAGTCAGACAGTTCTAGCTGCTTTAACAAAAATACCATAGACTGGGTGGCTTAACAAACATTTATTTCACAGTTCTGGAGGCTGAGAAATGTAAGATCAAGGTGCCAACAGATCTGGTGACTGACAAGGGCCAGTTTCCTGGCTTGTAGATAACAACCTTCTTGCCCCATCCTCACATGGCCAAGAGAGTGAGCTCCTGTCTCCTTCTCTCCTTATAAGGGCACTAACCCCAACATGAAGGCTCCACCCTCATGATTTAATCTAAACCTAATTACTTCCCAAAGGCCCCACCTCCTAATTCCATCCCATTGAGGGTTAGGGTTTCAGCTTATAAATTTTGGGAAGACACAAACATGCAACCTATAACACTACCTTTTTGTCTTTTGACATTCACATTCACCCTTATCTTTTGTCTGAGTAAAGAGTTCATGTTCCCTACACACACAGTCCCATTAGCAAATTTTTCATATGTCAATTTTGTCATAACTTCATATAAGGTAATGGGGTAAAATGGAGGGGAAAGGGGACAATTAATGTACCTAAAACATAACATGAAAACTAAGTTGGTAACTCAATTTCCTTCTTGTACCACCCATTTCATGGCCCCCTTTCTCTCTGCCAGCAAATCAGATGGGCAGAGTTCTTTGCCTGCTGGGTGGTCCAAACCTACTCCTGTTAGGGCTGAGGTCCACATATAATCCTTTCTCCCACTGTTTCCTCTTGAAAGTTGAGATCATTCATCTTGATTAATACAGGAACTCCTTTATACCTCTATTGGTTCATTGACTCGAGGAGCCAAAAATGTCCAGGGGAGAGTTTCTATTCCATGTTCAAAGGGAATCATGAATGTGTTCTCTAATGGAAGCATTGATCCCTCAAGCACTAGAAACTTCAACATATTGAGTCAAAAGTCTTGAGGATATGAAGCAAAAATTTCTCCAGTGGATTATTTAGTGCTATGATGAGACCGATCACTCCCACTTCCATGTCTTGGTTCCTGGACCTATATATTCTGGCTCAAGGGGAGACAGTAACAAATATTGGATGCAGATCTAAGTCATACATCACATCGAACAAACAACATCTCAACTTTATAGGAGGTTGCCACTCAGCTGATGTAGTAAACAAGCCTTCAGCAGGCCATTCCACAATTTTGTCAAGCCAACTGCTTCTGAGTGATGGGGAGTGTGGTAAGATCAGTGAATTCTATGAGCAGAAACTCATTCCACACTTCTTCCATTATAAAATATGTCCTCTGATTGGAGGGGTTGTTGTGGAGCATTATACCATAATTATAGAGAAGGCATCCCGTAATTCCACATATGGGGTGGTTAAAGGAGCTCTGTGAACAGTGATGCAAATGAATATATGGAATATGTGCCCACCCTGTGAGCATAATCTCCTCCAATACAAAAGGTGAAAATAATTAAAATGCCACCAGGTGATTGGCTGGTCCCTTGCACCCCTCCACACATGTGCCCTACCACGGATGATTAGGACCACACTGGGGTATTCTCCTCTGGCTACTCAGCACTAGGGGGTCACCAGATCAGACTCAGTGAGTCTATGTTTCTGAGTTCATGCATAGATTCCATTACCACCCTGTGGCCATTGTGCTTGTGGGCTCATTAGAAGAGCAGCTGTGTGGTTGGGGACTCAGAGGATGGGGAATCTTACCACTTGCCTACTGACTGAAGTGGATGGCTTCTCTTAGACATTTATTTGGAACATAACTACTTTCATATTTGTGCCCATTCTAAGAGATTTATCCATATTATTTCCCCCTAGACCTCACTGTCCTCTATCTTTCAGTTTTCTTCTTTCCTATTCCCTGACCATTAGCCACTGCTCATGAATCAATATAGATACATATTCTGGCTATCCCTCCTTTTTTTTTTTTAAAGATTTTATTTATCTATTTGACAGAGAGATACACAGCGAGAGAGGGAACACAAGCAGGGGGAGTGGGAGAGGGAGAAGCAGGCTTCCCGCTGAGCAGGAGCTCGATGCAGGGCTCGATCCCAGGACCCAAAGGCAGACGCCCAATGACTGAGCCACCCAGGCGCCCCGCTATCTCTCCTTCTATATGAAGTAAATAACCAAACGCACTGCTCAAATTTCACCCCCTGGGAGAATTTTCTCACCACTGTTGTCCAGGGCAAACCAAGTGATGCTGCAATGTGGCAACTATCTGCTTCTGGCTACAGCCAGCCTACAGTAAGAGCTATCTATAAACCAGACCCACAGTTTTCTCCTTCCTACTTAGTCATAAGAAGCTCCCTATGAGGTCAGAGGTGTGGATTAAAGGAAAGGTAATGAAAAAGTTGAAGTAAGTATGTGAGTCTGAGTCACCTGACTTGCAGTTTATTCACGCTTTCTAAAACTGCTTCTGAGCCCAGTCTCAAGTGCACAATTTCCGCTTAAAAATAAATTACTGCTGTGCACATTCAATTTTGCGGTTCAGATAGCCAGACGGTACCTAGGTTATGATGGATAGTATGAGTTGCCTACTTCTCTACCTGGGCCTGGTAGCAAGTCAGGGGTTACTTTTCCATGGAGAAGGGAAGAGGGCATAGCTTTATTCCTCGAGCCCTAGGGTCTACACTGTGAGTCTCCTACTAAGGTTTGCCAGAATTTCTATCCAACATCTCTGTTTGCCACACATATATTCAATACATTAGGGACTGCTATTGGCAAGGTGGCTTGTATGTCAGCTTAGATCTGCTGGGGAGTCTTTTCTTGCTCTGGGTCCATCTCAAATCTGGTGGTTTATCCAGGGTTACCCATAGTTCAAATCAGCCCACCCAAACGTGGTTATCTGTTGCTTCCCAAACCTAAAGAGGTCCACTAAATATTGTGTCTCTTTTATCATGATGGGTAGTCCAAGATGCAGTAACTTGTCTCTCATGCTCCAGATCACCAGACACTTAGAAACTTAACCAATGTGGCAGTCCCTGAACTTTTGGGGGTAAAATCTCCCACTGTCTAGGCTGCTTGTTCCTTCCTGCTTGCCAAATCCAATTCATCTAATGTCATCAATGCAATGAATCAGTTGATGTTCTGTGAGATGCCAGAATGATCAAGGTTTCTTTG